TCGCCGCCGCCGGCGGCGGAAGAGGAGCCCAAGGTGAGCTCCAGCGGCATCATCTTCTGGCGCTTTGAATATCGCCGGGAAGGAGTGGGTTGCTTCTCTGGGGTCTTTTCGCCGGAGGGAGATCCATCTTTGCCGTTGTTGGAACTCATCGTATTCTACAATAACAAGGCGGGAAAAAACACAGGATTTGAAAGCGCAAAAAATACCAAAATGCCCTCTACCAATAAAAATTTGAGACGTCTCACGGATCTCAATTTGTGAGACAGGGTCGGATCTTTGATTAATGAGGTCAAAAATCTGATCCATTAATCAAAGATCTGACTCATCTCACAAATTGAGATTCTTGAACCGATCTCACACAAATGTTACCCTTCATTTTTTTTTTTTTTTTAATTTCCAAATGGTGAATTTGGTGTGACATGGATCTGTTAAACCCCTGGTCAAATTGCAACCATCTATCAAATCCATACAACAAATACATACAGAGTCAACAGGTTACCCCAATCAAGATAACAAGAGATCCGCACTTGTAACCACAATGTCACAAGTTTGAATTCTTGCGTCTTTGGGATAGTCAATATTTACACCAAAATAGAGGGACTAAAACGACTATATCTCCATAACATAAGAACCAAAATCACTATTTTTCTTCAAAAAATGAAATCATCAAATATAATGTAACGAAACTTACTTATATAAACGCTTATTGTTGGCTAATTCTTCCTTAGCCTCGTATAAAACAAAAAATTCACTCGTATATCTCTCACAAAAAACCTAGGCTAGAGTAATACCGAACACATGATGAATTCATGTTCGATTGATATGGGTAATGAGAGTACCCCACATATATATAGCAAAGGGTAGGTAGAATGTAGAGTTTGGAAAATAAAATTGCTGAGCTGTAACTATATCATTTTAGAGCTCATTCTTAGAAATAATTTTAGGTTTTGATTTTTACTATAAAAGATTATCTAATTTAATATATACATATTAAGAGCAAATGTTATTTTTAAAATTAATACATTTAGTCATATTATTTTAAAATTTATCACGTTACATACTTGATTTTCATTTCTTTGTCACATTTAGTCCTCCTTTAATTTTAAAATTGTGCAATTCCACCTTTAAATAAATATGGCTAATATGAAATTGTTTAGTGTTCAATTAAAAGGATTTATAAGAAATAAAGAGAAATTACATATTGAGACAAGATGCATGAATGATAAAATTACATGTTAGTCTTTTTTTTTTTTAATAAATAAATAAAATGATGATATGACAAACTTTTTAAAAAGGGGGCTAAATTAAATGTGGGAAACAAATGAAAGTCATCAATTATGTAATGTGACAAAATTAAAAGAATAGAACTAAATGTGACAATGCCACAATATTTGAGGACTAAAAGTGAAATTTGCTCAAATATTAAGTAATATAAAGTACCTACCTAACGATTTTTTTTTTCAAAATTATAATCTTACCGGGCGTTTGGTTGGAGGGAATTTAAATTCTATTCATACTTATTCTTTTCCCATGAAATTACAATTCTTTTTTCACCTCATTCCTTCCCTCCAACTAAATGCCCCAAACACCTCATTAGGATAGGGCCAAAAGATGTGTTTTTGGAAATGTTATGTGAGTCCTAGACAATATTAAACAAAAACAAAAATTAAAAAAAATTATAATAATAATATATCGGAGTGGTCCCATTAGACACACAGCGTAACTTACTTGTGTACGTGGACTGTGCCTAATCTTATCATTAGTATAAAAATCTCAATAGTCATTCACAATAACAAATCTACCTACACCCCGAAAAAAGAAAGAAAAACTCCAAATAGTTATTCTTATAATATGTACAAATTTGAATGATATAAATGAATGTAGTTATTAGTAAAAATTTGTTGTAAAATCAAATTCAATTATTAATTTAGTTAAAATTTTGTTGTAAAATCAAATTCAATTATTAATTTTGCTTTTAATTTAGACTGATCAGAATGTTCAATTATAACTATCTAGTAAAGGGCCACGGGAAAATCCCCCAATAGCATCACAAAATTCAATCAGAGATTAACAAATACAAAAGTACGTGCAATAATCATTTTATGAAAAACAATTTATGTGACAAATTTTGACATTTTACGTGTACAAAGAACTCGAGCACTTGTTCTTCCATCATTTTCTTTTCTGAATTATGGAAAAGGGAATGAATGAAAGGAGCTACTTATTAGTTATTTCCAAAGATTTGATGCACAAGATGTCTCAATCTTCTGCTTCTGATGCTGTTGTTGTCAATCCTTGAAAGAATGAAAGGAGCTATACAATTACGTTTAACATATTACTACTGATATTTTTATATATTTCAATATACTAAATGAACATTTATTAGTGATACATTTTACCTTGCATTGTGGACCTTAGTCTAAAATTGTATGTATGTAATTAACATATTATATGTATATAATATTATAGTTAATAAATTATGTACCTGTAAATAAATTGAAGACACATAATATGTTCCAGACACATAATAACAATTTATTATGTGACTTCAATTTATTTACAGGCGCATAATTTATTAACGAAAAGCACATATAATATGTTAATCGTAAATACATAATTTTTAGACTATATATAATCCACAATGTAAAGTGGACAATGGAGTGAAATTTTAGTACTATCACTTTACTTCTGTGGGTCGAAAAGCTAGGAGAAATATTGAAGAAATATGAGAGAAAAAAAAATGAAGAAAACATACTTATTATGTTTTGACTAGGAACAAAACCGGATAATTTAGGCGGGGGTAATTTCAAGAAATTGTTCTCTTGCAAAATACAAAATAATGTCAGAATTTAAAGAAAAAAAAAACGCAGTGCGTGTTTCGCGCACGGCTTGGCTAAAGTCGGCGCTGTTTACTTTTTTTTTTTTTTTTTTTTTAATTCAGTTTTTTTTCTTTCCCCTCCCATCTTCTCTTTCCTAATCACTCTTACATTCTCCCCCTAATATCCCCAACTGATAATGTTGCTCTAAGAGGTGTCCGAAAGTTGTTTTACTTTTCGTACGTAAGATGGGAAAGGAGAGAATTTGAAATTGCAAAATAACCAAAATGCCCTACTAGGGTAAAAATATCAAAAAACAAAATCTTATATCTAGAGTCCATTAATAGAAATAAATTTAGACCTCAAATTTTATTATATATATTGAGGGATGTAGGGAGGTGGTGGAAAGTGCATGGCAGAATGGGAGGGTAGGAGGACTGTTGAGTTGTCAGCAGTATTGTGGAGAGAGGTTGTTGCAGTGGGGAGGTGAGCACTTCCATAGGTTTGGGGACCGTATCAAGCAGATTCGTAAAGACCAGCTCTTACTTCGACATTGTAGGGACTCGGCTTCTTTAGCTGAATTTTAGCGTTTGGAGGCCCAGGATGACGTTTTTGGATATAGCGGGTGAAGCAGCATTGGTTGAAGGGTGCGGATGCCAATACTAAATTCTATCACATGTATGCTTCTGCACGTAGAAAAGAGAATATGATTTCTAAGCTGAAAAATACTGTTGGGGATTGGGTAGAGGGGGATGCTATGGAGACTGTTGTGCTGGATTACTTTAATGATATTTTCACCACTAGTAATTCTAGTTGTGAGGATCCTTTGTTTGATTTTGCGCCTCCTCGTATTTCCCCTAGCCAAAATATTGGTCTGCTGAGGCCTTTTGAGATTGATGAGGTGAAATCTGCGGTGTTCTCTATGTTCTCTGATAAAATCCCTGGGCCGGATGGTTTGAATCCCGACTTTTACCAACACTTCTGAGGTGTGGTTGGGGAAGATGTGCCTAACTTTGTGCTGCAGTGTTTAAATTCTTGTTCCTTTCCGGAAGGTCTTAATGATACTAACATTGTTCTTTTTCCAAAGAAATATGTTCCTGAGACCATGGCTGATCTTAGGCCGATAGCCCTGTGTAATGTGACCTACAAAATTATGGCTAAAATGTTAGCTAACAGGTTAAAACTTCTTTTGGGAAGTCTAATCTCTGAGTCCCAAAGTGTTTTTATCCCGGGCATACTTATCACGGATAATATCATTGTGGCTGCGGAGGGTGGTAGGATGGGGAGCCCTAACGTTAGATATGGAAAATGCTTATGATTGTATGGAGTGACCTTTCTTGAAGAAAATGATGGGGTCCTGGGATTTGATGATAGATGGGTGGATTTGATAATGCTCTGTGTGACCATTGTCTCTTACTCTATCAATATTAACGATATTGGTGGTGACCGTGTTATTCCCTCCCGGGGTCTCAGACATGGTGATCCTCTCTCTCCCTATCTGTTTATTATATGTGCTGAGGGTCTATTTTTGCTGTTATAGAGTGCCTAGGATCGATGTTGCATTCATAGATGCAGGGTGGCTAGAGGTGCCCCGCCTATATCCCATTTGTTCTTTGCATATGTCTTCAAAGCCAATGCCTAGGAAGCCGATCAGCCGATGTAATCAAACAGTGTTTGAACACTTATGAGAATTTATCAGGTGAGGCTATAAATTTTCATAAGTCCAGTATTTGTTTTAGTAAGAACACATCAGTAGAGGATAGGGAAGAGGTGGCTACATTGTTAGGCGTGACTCAGGCTCCTAATTTTGGGAAGTACTTGAGTTTGCTTTCTTTTGTGGGTAGGAATAAAAAAGCTGTTTTTCATATACATATGACAAAATCAAGTAGAGGATTGGTTCCTGGAATAAGAAACTTCTCTCTCAGGCTGGTAAGGAGGTTCTCTTGAAAAGTGTGGCTCAATCTATACCTATATTTTCTATGAGTGTCTTTTTTATTCTGGTTTCAGTTTGCTTATCTATTGAGAGGACCATGAACAGGTATTGGTGGAGCTCTGGAAGTGATATGGGGAATCCACTAGAAGGCATGGGATCAGCTCTGTAGGCCCAAGAAATTTGGGGGACTGAATTTTAAAGGTTTACGTGCTTTTAATTTGGCTATGTTAGGGAAGCAAGCCTGACATTTCATGACTGTCCCTGATTCTTTAGTAGCAAGAGTGTATAAGGCTCGCTACTTCCCCAAAACCTCTTTCTATGAGGCAACTTTGGGTAATTGTCCAAGTTATTGCTGGCTCAGTATAATGGAAGCACATGGCTTGGTGTGTGGTGGGGTAAGAAAGAGAATAGGTAATGGTAAGACTACATTGATTTGGGGATCTGATGAACCAAGTCCATTGATTCAAACTGCTATGGTTAATGAATTAAATGGCTCATTGGTTTCAGGTTTGATTGATCAAGAAACGAATACTTGGGATCCACATATTCTATCTGATATTTTTTATTCTCAGGATGTGACTCGTATATCTAGGATCTCAATCAATCCTGATTATGATGATTCTTGGTTTTGGTATAAAGACACAAGGGGTTGTTATTCAGTTAAAAGTGGGTACATGCACATTATTGGTAATTATGAGGACGCCCCAGGAGGCTTTGGTAGATGGATTTCAGTGTGGGAACTTCACGTTCCTCCCAAGTGGAAGACTTTCTTTTGGAGAGCTCTTAATGATATCCTCCACACCACTATAAACTTGATTATAAAGAGAGTAGAGGTGGATCCAGCATGCCCAAAGTGTGGTCTAGCTAATGAGAATGTCATGCATGCTTTGGTTTTGTGTGAATACTCTAAACATGTGTGGCATGAGTCTTCCATCTCCATCACAAATTATGCATGTGACAGATTCATTCTCCTTGTGGTTGCGAAATGTTATGACCACTATGTCTAAGCTAAGGAATATGTTGATCTTGTTGTGGCAGTTTTATACCAAATTTGGCGGACCAAGAACCAATCGGTGTGGGAGCTCTCCATGCCGTCGCCGAGTGCAGTGTCGAGGAGGGCATCCACGTCGCTGCTAAGCTGGAGGCAGGTGCACTCTCATCCCCAGCAAATGCCACAGACCACCGTGACGCCTGCTTCTTCAACCCGCCCAAAGTGCTTCATCGATGCGGGATTCAAGCCGGCAACGGGGAAAACTTCCTTCAGCGCGGTGCTACTGTCTCATGATGGTGCGTTCTTGGCGGCATGCAATGGTTTACTTGCGGACTGTTTCTTGCCCCTGATGGCGGAGTCCCTAGCTTGCAAGGAAGTGCTATATCCTAGCTCAAGGATCGGGGTGTGCTGGCTGTAGACTTATTTACAGATTGTTTAGAGCTTCGTGGTAGTCTTTTATCAGTTCATATGCCGGTTTTATCCTATGTTGGGATCACTATTGATCAGTGTTGAGCATATATGTTCACGTTTGATTATTGCTTTGTTAGTTTAGTGTCTAGAACTTTAAATTTACATGCTCATACTCTTGATTCAGCAGCTTTTGCTCAAGCTGGCTCGCTGTAGTGGGACTCTGTCCCTCCTAACTCTATTGTTGCTCTCATTCATTAATATATTGCAACTTTATCTCTTAAAAAAAAAATAAAAATTCAATGTATAGATATTAAGTGATGATAATGTACCTACTTATCAAATTTCTTTTTCAATTTTTTTCTTTCAAAATAATAGCCAGTGGTTGTGCTTTTTGATAGCTTTTTAGCATCCTAGGATTTTTTTTTTATAAAAAAAAACATAAATTTAAAAGTACTCCGTGTATATATATATATATATATATATATATATATATATATATATATATATATATATATATATAGAGTGCTCACTATCCATAGGTGTGTGCAGCTTACGTACATTTACTGTGCATGTTTTTTTTTTTTTTTTTAATTGAGTTGATTAATTATTTTCAACATTATATACATGCATGTCAAATATTTAACTCCTTTTATCATGTTATTATTTATTAATATATACCTAAATTTGCCAGGGACACCATTCACCAATCCATGCCAAATCGAAATTGAGGCTCCTAGATATATATATATATCTAGGTTGAAAATTTAGTCAAATCAAATATTTTGAGGGAGAAGCACTTGTGAGATTTACTTTTAAAAGTCACTATTTTTTTTAAAATTGGTAAATAAATTTAATTATTATATTATAGAATGGAGTTAATTACTTGATAGATTCATAATAATTGCGTTTATTATAGAGCATTAAGTACGCATGTATATTAATTATAATTTAATTATATTTTTTAATTTCTATTTCATTCAATTTTGTAATATATTTTTCCTTCTAAATCGCATTAACATAATCTCATTTTTTTTAATTTCCTTTTTATTGTTTATTTATCTCACAATATATTGTACGTGCACTATATATGCACGCTTTTTTTTTTTTTTTTTTTTTTTTAATAACTAGTTAATAAACAGAAAAAGTAATCTCTATCACAAATAACCTAGGTCCTAGCCTCCTAGGATAGACCAGTACCCAATATGACATTATTATTGTATCATGATGGAATGAAATACAAGAATATATGTTGAATTGATATGGAATGTGAAAGTAACCACAAGGTCATGAATTCGAATTCTTATGTTCTTGGTTTGACCCCGATTAGGGTCACAAGGCAAGATTGAGTTTTTCTTATCATCCAAAATAAAATACTGAATTAACTCGACTCAGCCATTCAAAAATTAAAATCTCCATTCATAAAAATATTTACACCCAAAATAGTGGGACTAAAACGACTATATCTCCATAACACAAGAATCAAAACCACCACTTTTCTTCAAAAACTTGTTTAATTTATTTTAATCTTTAATTATTATAAACAGATCGGACATGTATATATATATATATATATATATAATGCTTAACATAAAATAAAATCATCAATATAATTTAACGAAACTTACTTATATAAACACTTATTGTTGGCTAATTCTTCCTTAGCCTGTATAAAACAAAAAGTTCACTCGTATATCTCTCACAAAGAACCTAGGCTAGGGTAATACCGAACACAAGATGAATACATGTTCGAATGAATATATAAAGAGGTGACCGCATAAAAAAGGGGTTAAAAAGGTTAAAACTCACTAATTGATCCAATTTAGATCGATCGTCCATAATAAAGAAATTTTTTTATAATAATAATAGACATTTGAAAATAATAATAATAATAATAATAATAGTCACTATGAGCGTGCATCTTACGCGCGTGCACTGTGCACTTATATAAACAATTGTTGGCTGATTCTTCCTTGTATAAAACACTACACTAAGTTCACCTGTATATCTCTCACAAATAACCTAGCTAGTATAGGCTAGGGTATGTACCTAACGGCTAATACAAGAATATATGGCAAAGAGTTGGTAGAAATGTACGTGAGGGTTTGGGAAAGTTTGCTGAGCTGTATAATATATCATTTTAGACTCCATTAATAGAAATAAATTTAGGCTTTGATTTTTACTATAAAAGTTGATCTAATTCAATGTATAAATATTAAGTAATACAATAATGTACCTACTATACCTATCAAATTTCTTTTTCAAATTATTATCTTAGGGCAGGTCCAAATGATGCGATTTTGGAGAATTTTTTGTGGTGTCCTAGGCAATATAAAAGAAACACGTAAATTTAAAAATATATAATAATTGGAGTGATCTCAATAGGAGTGTCAAGGTGAACTGAAGTCTACGGGCCAGTTCTACACCGCCCTATGGTGAGATGGGTCGGGGCCTAGAATTTTTGGCTCGCGAAAATGCAGGCTTCGCGGGCTTGGCCCATGCGAGTTAGTGGGCTACACATGCTGGCCTGTGGACATTTCATAAATACAAATATAAATAAAAGCCACAAGCATCGGGAACCACATTGGAGCCAAAAACCCCGTCTAATCAAAACAAGGTCTATTAGTGGTTTTTTAGAATTAGAGTTCTAAATACAGTCTTCTTACCCCAAAAGGCTGAATCTCCAACCTTGGATAGCCAGATTGTTTATATACTTGAAAAGCCTGTAGCTGACTTCGGTAGTCTAAACACTGTTCTATTTAGGCAGTAAATAATAATTAAAAGATAACAGATATAAATCATACATGGTAGTTCCGATGAGCAATAATTACAACGACGTTAATCGAAGAGTTTAGCTTCTTTTCGTGGTAGAAGAACTTATTTGCAGTCCTAGAAATCGTTATTAGCGAACTACCCTTAGGTTTCTATATATATGTCATTGCACTTTTTCATGGGTCACTACACATTCAGAGAGCAATTCAGCAAAGCAGGGTTATTAATTCACAGATCAATGACTCCTTTATACATTCTGGGTCGCGATATTTCTCCTATGAACACCACTTATGCTATCAAAGTTAGACTGATACGTTCCTATGAAGTAGGTACCAAAGCTTTAAGAAGATTAAAGAGTGTCGGGTGACGATGGGAAAATTGGATTGATTTGCATTGTAAAACTGGCAAATTATGCCCCGGACCCGTGTCCACAGTGAATTGTGGACACGGGCCCAAAACGACGTCGTTTAAAAAAAAAAAAAAACGCGTCATTTAGTTAAAAAAAAAAAAAAAAATCCCGCGCGTTTTGCCGTTAACGGCGTTATTTTTTTTTGGATTATGAATGTACAGTTATGCCGTTATGAATGTACAGTTATGCAATTATGAAATTATGAACACAGAGCTCTAACATTATGGACTTACAATTATGAACATATATAGTGATAAAATTATGACCATGGAGCTTTAAAATTGTGAATATAGAGCTTCGAAGATTATGAATGTACAGTTATGGAGTTATGAATGTACAGTTATGGAGTTATGAATCTACAGTTATGAGATTATGAATCTACAGTTATTGATCGAATTATGAATAAAGAGCTCTAACATTATGAATTTACAATTATGAACATATAGTGATAAAATTATGAACATAGAGCTCTAAAATTGTGAACATAAAGCTTCGAAAATTATGAATGTATAATTATAGAGTTATGAATGTACAGTTATGGAGTTATGAATGTACAATTATGGAGTTATGAATGTACAATTATAGAGTTATGAACGTACAGTTATGGAGTTATGAATGTACAGTTATTAATAATATAGTAATAAAATTATGAATATATACTCCTATAACAAAGCGGTTTGAAATTAAAAAAAAAAAAAAAAAAAAGGAGATAACAGTGCCTAACGGCACTGTTAACCGTGTCCAGCAAGCATGCTGGACACGGGTCCAACGCATAACGATTGCCATGCGAGTTAGTGGGCTACACATGCTGGCCTGCGGGCATTTCATAAATAAATAAATATATATATATATATAGTCTTATCTTACTATATAAAAAAGCCACAAGCATTTGGAACCACATTGGAGCCAAAAATCCCACCTAATCAAAACACGGTCGTTTAGTGGTTGTTTAGAATTAGAGTTCTAGAATTAGAGTTCTAGAATTAGAGTTCTAAATACAGTCTTCTACATTTACACTTGGATAGCCAAATTGTTTAAATACTTGAAAAGCGTGTAGCCGACTTCGGTAGTCTAAACATCGTTCTATTTAGGCAGTAAATAATAATTAAAAGATAACAGATATAAATCATACATGGTAGTTTCAATGAACAATAATTACAACATCGTTAATCATCGAAAGAGTTTAGCTTCTTTTCGTGGTATAAGAACTTATTTGGAGCCCTAGAAATCGTTATTAGCGAAACACCCTTAGGTTTCTATATATATGTCTCAGGACTTCTTCATGGGTCACTACACATTCAGAGAGCAATTCAGCAAAGTAAGGTTATTATTTCATAGATCAATGGCACCTTTATACATTTTGGGTCGCGATATTGCTCCTATGAACACCACTTATGCTATCAAAGTTAGGCCGGTACGTTCCTATGAAGTAGGTAGATGGTTCTCCTCTACGCAAAGCTCTAAGAAGACTAAAGAGTGTTTGGTGAAGATGGAAAAATTGGAGTGATTTGCATTGTAAAACTAAACTTGGCTGGTGACATTCTTAAATGTTCTTTTTGGACACTTTAAACTGGTGGCAGTTTATGACTTTGGGTTCTGTGTTTTTTGGACAACTTTTGTGTATGGTGGCATGGGCAAAAAATTTAAGTTTCGCTCCCAAATACCAGACTTGAAATTGAATCTTCCAAAGGCCAGCCTGTCTAAGTAGCCTCGGTAGCAGTGCACTGCCCCGTGACTTGAGATACTTAATTGGCTATAAATTAAGCCGTGGATCCATTGGGCTTTCTTTGAATTTGTTTTGTAGGAATTATGGAGTCAAAGAAAGGTAA